ATATATAAAAAGAAAGAAAGAAAAAAGAAAGAAAGAAAGAAAGAAAGAAAAAGAAAGAAAGAAAAAGGTTTGGGAAAGGCTATCATATAAACTACGTTTGATTATCACTGATTTACAGACCCAGGATCAAATGAAGGAAGCTTCTGAAAATCTTTCCAATCTATTTTTGCTCTTACATATGAAATACATTAGTTAAAACTGTACATTAAATAGGTATTAAATACTTGTTAAAACACTCCTCAAAACATAAATGAAGGCTAACCAAAACTTCATCAATTTGGCAACATTATTTTATTTATTATGAAAAACTTACTAAAAATAATTTCCAACAAAGGTATGATACGATGAGCAGAGCACACTACATAAGAACAAAAAAGAGCATCTCTTTTGAACAAATTGCTCAAAGGCAAAGGAGTAGGCTGTGGGGTGAGGCTTCCTTTTTAAACTCATGGCTGCTGTGAGTTACCTCCTTGGAATGATTACATCCACCGCCACTAGCACAACTCGAACCTAGCAATCAACATTTGACACAGGGAAGATAACTGACTTTACCTATGTGTAGGGTGTCTGTAAAACTAGCATACAGACTGGAGCCTGATACTGGTTCACATTTGTGAATTAACTATTTAAATAAACTGCTAGTCAGTAAATTAAGTAATTTGGGTGACTATTTCTAGCAGAAGCTTTTCAAACTTCACAAATTTCTTATTTTAGAGAATAGTGTATCACTTTATAAGTCTCAATTTGCCAGAAAAAAATTTTAAAGCTAATTTCAGAGCTCCCACCAAATTACTAAGAGCTAACATGCTTCAAACGCCATATTAAGTTCACTATCAGATTCTAAAATAATTCAGCTACTTCATCTTGTCAATGAAATATTATTTTCTTTCATTAACCACAAGTACAATAAAGAATTTTTAATTACAAAATGATTAACACACAACAAAGTCCTCTGCATTCTTCTTAAAGATGTTCATCTCCTGGGTTTTGAAAGAAAACTTTAAAAACCAAAATATTTAACCTTCTAACAGTTCCACAACTAAACATTTACCAACAAAAGGAAAAGTCAAGACTAAATGTTCAGAAATGAAAAACAATACAAAAGCTTCTCATAATCTATAGAAGGTATTAAATAAAAAGTCAAATTCCTAATGAAATCGAGTATATGACAATAAGCACGCAAAAGCAAATTACTTCATGACAGAGCAGTTATGATATAATTCTCAACCTTCTCCCATTTAAACAAAACCATGTATTACTTACGTAATGGATGGATCCACTTGTTTGTAAGCATGAGCAGCACAAGACCCACAGTACGTATATCCTGCGTGGCTAAAAAACAAAAAATATTTTTAAATTTAATCATCAGATTCAAAATCAAGATGTTCTGAAACAAAAAAAACCTTTTGAAAGAAATAAAACTATGGTAAACATAACAGAAGTGAGTGTAAAAATAAAAGCAATATAGCTAATGATGCAAACTCTAGAAGACAACAGAAAACACATAATTGCTTTATGTTCCAATTTTATTTTATTTTATTTTTTTTTTTTTTAATTTTTTTTTTCAACGTTTATTTATTTTTGGGACAGAGAGAGACAGAGCATGAACAGGCGAGGGGCAGAGAGAGAGGGAGACACAGAATCGGAAACAGGCTCCAGGCTCTGAGCCATCAGCCCAGAGCCCGACGCGGGGCTCGAACTCACGGACCGCGAGATCGTGACCTGGCTGAAGTCGGACGCTTAACCGACTGCGCCACCCAGGCGCCCCTTATGTTCCAATTTTAAATTTTAAAAAGTCTTTTGTAACATTTTTGGTCTACAGGACAATTAAATTTAGATATTCAAGGCTTACTTGAAGTTGCTAATGTAATACTAATAGAATTTATACATTCCTCTTCAATACCATTAGCAGACTATTACATAGTAGTAAGACCAAGAGCAAGTCAAATCTAAATAAATCAAATATCCTATAATAATAACTCATCTTTTTTAAATTTCTTTTAATTTTTTAAACTTTTTTCTCAAATTTTTATGAAATTCTAGTAATTAACATATAGTGTAATATTGGTTTCAGGAGTACAATTCAGTGATTCATCACTTACATACAACACCCAGTGCTCATCACAAGTGCCCTCCTTAACAACCGTCACCCATTTACCCCACCCCTCCAGCAACCTGTTATTCTCTATAGTTAAGAGTCTCCTTGGGAATGCAAGCTGGTGCAGCCACTCTGGAAAACAGTATGGAGGTTCCTCAAAAAACTAAAAATAGAACCACCCTATGACCCAGCAATTGCACTACTAGGCATTTATCCAAGGGATACAGGTGTGCTGTTTCAAAGGGAAACGTGCACCCCCCATGTTTAGAGCAGCACTATCAACTATAGCCAAAGTACGGAAAGAGCCCAAATGTCTATTGATGGATGAATGGATAAAGAAGATGTGGTATATATACACAATGGAGTATTACTCGGCAATCAAAAAGAATGAAATCTTGCCATTTGCAACTACCTGGATGGAACTGGAGGGTATTATGCTAAGTGAAATTAGTCAGTCAGGGAAACACAAAAATCACATGACTTCACTCCTACGAGGACTTTGTAAGAGACAAAACAGATGAACATAAGGGAAGGGAAACAAAAATCATATAAAAACAGGGAGGGGGACAAAACAGAAGAGACTCATAAATATGGAGAACAAACTGAGGGTTACTGGAGGGGTGGTGGGAGAGGGGATGGGCTAAATGGGTAAGAGGCACTAAGGAATCTACTCCTGAAATCATTGTTGCACTATATGCTAACTAATTTGGGTGTGAATCTTAAAAATAAAAAGTAAAATTAAAAAAAAAAAAAAAAGTCTCCTAAAAAAAAAAAAAAAGAGTCTCCTATGGTTTCTTATAACATAACATACAGGGATATATTAATTTCAGGTATATAAGATATGATTCAACAATTCTATTCATTTCTCTGTGTTCATCAAGAAGTATATACTCTTAATCCTTTTTACCTATTTCACCCATCACCCTCACAGACCTCCCCTCTGGCCACTACTAGTTTGTTCTCTGTATTTAATAGGTTGGTTTTTTGTTTGTCTCTTTATTCCTTTGTTTGTTTTATTTTTTAAATTTTACATTGGAGTGAAATACTGCATTTGTCTTTCTCTGACTTACTTCACTTGATACCCTCTAAATCAATCTATGCTGTTGCAAATGGCAAGCTCTCATTCTTTTTTATGGCTGAGTAATATTCCTGTGTGTGTGTGTGTGTGTGTGTGTGTATCTCACATCTTCTTTATCCATTCATCTATTGATGGACTGAATTCTTATGTCCATAGCTAAGCAATGGCTGCAACTGACAAGTGTGGAACAATGAAAACACATGCCTGACATGAATGACTTCTCTGCTAATTAGATAAGTTTTCAAATATTAGGAAGAATATTTCCTTCCATACTTTCATACACTTTTTTTTTAAATGTTTATTTTTGAGAGAGAGGGAGAGAGAGTAGGGGAGGGGCAAAGAGAGAGGGAAATAAAGAATCTCAAGCAGGCTCTGCAGTGTCTGCGCAGAGCCCAATTCAGGGCTCGAACTCCAACAAAGAGATTGTGACCCTGACACAAAAAACAGACACTCAGATCAATGGAACAGAACAGAAAACCCAGAAATGGACCCCCAAATGTGTGGTCAACTAATCTTTGACAAAGCAGGAAAGAATATCCAATGGAATCAAGACAGTCTCTTCAGCAAGTGGTGCTGGGAAAACTGGACAGCAACACGCAGAAAAATGAACCTGGACTACTTTTATACACCATACACAAAAATAAACTCAATGTGGATGAAAGACCCCAATGTAAGACAGGAAGCCATCAACATCCTCAAGGACAAAGCAGGCAAAAACCTCTTTGATCTTGGCCACAGCAACTTCTTACTCAACATGTCTCCAGAGGCAAGGGAAACAAAAGCAAAAATGAACTATTGCGACCTCATCAAAATAAAAAGCTTCTGCACAGTGAAGGAAACAATCAGCAAAACTCAAAGGCAACCGACAGAATGGGAGAAGATATTTGCAAATGACGTATCAGATAAAGGATTAGTATCCAAAATCTATAAAGAGCTTATCAAACTCAACACCCAAAAAACAAATAATCCAGCGAAGAAATGGGCAAAAGACATGAATACACACTACTCAAAGGAAGACATCCAGATGGCCAACCGACACATGAAAAAATGCTCAACATCACTCATCACCAGGGAAATACAAATCAAAACCACAATGAGATATCACCTTACACCTGTCAGAATGGCTAACATTAACAACTCAGGCAACAACAGATGTTGGCAAGGATGCGGAGAAAGAGGATCTCTTTTGCATTGTTGGTGGCAATGCAAGCTGGTGAAGCCACTCTGGAAAACAGTATGGAGATCCCTCAAAAAAATTAACAATAGAGCTACCCTATGATCCAGCAATTGCACTACTAGGTATTTATACAAGGGATACAGGTGTGCTGTTTCGAAGAGACACATCCATAGCCAAAGTACGGAAAGGCCCAAATGTCCATTGATGGATGAATGGATCCGTCATTGTATATAGAATCTAGTGAATATACCAGGATGGCAAATAAGCACACAAAAGAATGCTCAACGTCATTCAGTCACTATGGAAAGGCAAATTAAAACTACAAAAACTACCACTAAACAGCCTGTAGAATAACTGAAACCAAAAAACGTGACCATATCAAGCATGTTAAGGATGCAGAAGTGAAATTCGAGCTATACTCAAAATGTAAAGTGGAAATGTATACTGGAAATGTAAAATGTTACAACCACTTTCGAAAACAGTTTGGCAATTTCTTAAAAAGTTAAATATACTCCTACCATATGACCCAGCTTTCCACTCCCAAGAAAAATGAAAGCATTATTACCACAAAGATTTGTGCACAAATGCTCATCCCAGCTTTATTTGCAACAGTAAAAAACTGGAAACCTAATTCCTCAAAAGATGAACGGATAAACAAATGGAAGTATAGAGGTGCCTGGGTGGCTCAGTCGGTTAAGCGTCCAACTTTGGCTCAGGTCATGATCTTGCGGTTTTTGAGTTTGAGCCCCATGTTGGGCTCTGTGCTAACAGTTCAGAGCCTGGAGCCTGCTTCAGATTCTATGTCTCCTTCTCTTTCTGCCCCTACCCTGCTCCCATTCTCTCTCTCTCAAAAATAAATAAACATTAAAAACAAAAACAAAAACACAAAAAAATGGAGATACAGTCATATAATGGAAAACTCTCCAGCAACAGAAAGGAACTATTGATACACCCAGAAATAATTATACTTAAAAAGATGGTTAAAAAAAAATAGAGAACACAACAAAGAGTTCATACTGTATCATTACACTAAAAAATAAAAACTAATCTGTAGCAACAAAGAATAAGTCAATGGATGTGACTGGAAAGGAGAGGCAGAGAGGTACAGAAGGGATGAATCACAAAAGGGCACAAGGAAACTTGAGGATGATGAATATGTTCATTATCTTCACTGTGATGGTTTCATAGGTGTATACATATTTCAAATGTATCCAATTGTACACTTTAAATATATGCAGCTGCAGGTTAACCTACCACAATAGAGCTGTTTTAAAAAGGGTCATCATCTGATCTAGCTTAAGATATGAATAGAGAAAAAGAGAGTCACATAAGTCAATCACAGCAATATAGGATAGTAGTGTGCTTAATCAGGAGTTAAGTAATATGGTACCTACACTAAGCACACTGAAATCACTAAAGGTTTTATTGGTTGGGTTAATGGTAGTCACTCTATCCGTATACTTCTGGCAAGAGAGCCTATCAAGTTGCTTTAGTATAGCAATATTCTCCACAACCCGGTTCTAATCTTAGCCAGAAGAAATGTAAGTTGTTCTATGGCTCAGCACATTCGGTTTTGCTGATCTTGATATTCTAGCCTAACCAGGGGCTCAACTGTTTCCAATTCGGTCCCCAATCCTCCAGTGCCAAACACCCCAGTACAAACTACTTCAGATTCCTCACAGCTGTTCCTGATCTTAACATTACTGGCTCCCCCTTGTCAATTCAGAAATATGTTAGCTTCCCTAGTCAGGTGGACCTTAAAAACCATTTGATCCACCAGCATCTGTCCTGGTCTGTGTCAAACCAGAATAATATCTCAAATTTTCAATACTGCATTGCTCTCAGTTGTCACTCATATCCTATCCATCCATGTCCCAACCCTTATTTTTAAATTGATACATCTTAGATCAGCTTTTCAGACTTTAATTCCTATTTGCCATTCTTCAATTTAAAGGCCCTGACCTTCATTCCATACTCCG